GTGTAGGCCCCAGCACCTCAGGACCCCACAGCTGTGGCCTCAGCACCTTAGGACCCCACACTGTGACCCCAGCACCTCAGGACCCCACAGCTATGGCCCAGTGCCCCGGCCACTCATCCTTTGGACACCAGCGGCCTCAGGGACCCCGGGGGCAGAGGAGCAGCCACAGCTCCTCCCAGGCAGAGGGAGGCAGAGTGGGTGAGCCGGGCCTGCGGGGCAGCTGCTCTCTGCCAGCTGCTTTACTCTGCTGAAGCCAACGGTGTCAGTCTCCTTGCCTTGGAGCTCCCAGGCTCAGGGAGAGAAACGCGGGACCAGGGCCCCAGCTGGTGAGCAGCAGAGGGAGGCTCTGAGCCCAGACGGGCCCATCTCTCTGCATGGCTCTGCCTGGAGGATGCTGTAGCTTATCAGGGCTGATGGAGGCTTGAGACCCCGGGCCGGTCCCAGAGAGCCCTCAGGCCCCACTCTCTCACCAGGTCAGGATGGCCCAGGATGGCCCCTCCTGCTCTGGAGTCCCTGAGCTGACCTGCCTGTAGGTGGCCAGAGCGCCGTTCTCCCAGGGAGCATGGGGAGGGAGTGCCACTTCCCAGCTGGGACTCACCAATGGTGTCCAGCACAAAGTCCACACTCATGTTCTGGGTGAGGAAGCTCAACAATGGGCACACCTGAGGGAAACAGAAAGCGGGGACCCACGGAAGGGTGAGTGGGGTGCAGGGAGAGGAGGGAATGCCCGAGGAGGAAAAGTCAGATCATTTTCAACTGGAGACAGAGGCAGGCCGCCTCGGAGATACCCCTTGTGTGGGGCCAAGAACCCCCGACCCTGAGCCTCTAAAACAATGTAAACCCAGATGAGCAATTCTGAGAACCACATCTAACTCCTCAGCACAGAAGATCCAGACGGCACAATCCAGAGCATGGATGCTCCCGAGCTCTGAAGCAGACGTTGGGAAATGGAACCTGGAGTTTTCAGGTGTCTCAGGCCCTGGCCCCGGCAAAGTGTCCCATGAAGAGGGTGCAGTCCTGGGCCTCCTTACAATGCCATCTGTGATCAGCAGACCGGAGTGGGAGTGTGGGGGGAGTCAGCAGGCTGAATCTCCACAAGCTCCAGTGAGCCCAGTGCTGTGCAGACCCACCCTGTGAGCCAAGGCCCCAATCAGGGAGCAACAGCCCCCAGAAGGTCTCTCTGTCACACATCCTGTTTCCATCCCTTTCCAGAATGACTGATTATGAAACTGGGACTTCGATTTTGGGTGATTTTTAGATGAAAAACCTACTCTTCTGATAGGTGTTTCTTTCACAACTAATTGTACGTTAAGTGGTATTACCCTCTGTTTATTGGAGGGTTAAAATATTTCCTTTACAAAATAAATATATTTCTAAGGACTTCGGTAATAAGTGTGTTGATGTCAGAGCCAAGAGCAAACCAGGTCCTGCTACTACAGGATTTGCCAGAGCTCCGCTGGCGTCGCGAGGTGTCAGCCCAAGTCAGGCCCCTGCGCCTCCACTCCTCTCCCCTCTACACAAACAGAACTGAGTAAACAGGGGGCAGGTTGATAGTCCCATGGGGAGTTCGAGCCTCAGGGAAAGGTGCCCAGACAGTATCGTGTGCCTGTGCCGCTCCGGGTGTGACCCAGGGCACAGGGATGTTGGACTCACCAGCTTCTCTACCAGGCCTGACAGAGTCTTTCCCACCAATCCGGATACACTGTCCAAAAGTGTGTTGATCAAAAGGCTCTTCCTGGAATAGAGAGAAGGCTCTGCTGAGGGCTGGTCACCTGGGAAGAGCTGCCAGGCAGTGTGGAGGGCAGAGGTGGGGCGCAGTACCCCAGAGACACCAAGCTGCATTTCAAGCCACGGGGCATCATCACTTAGAACCTCACATCTGTCCATGCCTCACCTCAGTGCCTGGGAGCCTCTTCACAATCTGACACCCCACTCATTCTTTCACTCACTCAGCAACCGATTTTAGAGACTCCGACTCAGCCAGGCCCCAAGCCGGGGTGGAGACTCAGAGACAGCAAAGCACAGCAGCTCCTCACCTGCTACCTGCACAAGAGACTGGTCTTGCTGGGCTGCCCCCTCCGCCTCGGCCTCTCAGCTACTTGCCCTGCCGTGGCCATGAGCCCAGAACCCAGCCCTCAGCTTGGGGTGCAGGGCCCCTCTCTCCAAATCTGATGGGAATACCCTCTTTCCCGCTACCTTCATCCCCAGCACAAAACCCATTCTTTCAAGCCCAGTTTGAGATATAGAAGTTCTGGGCTCCCAGGATCAACGGCTGAAATGACAGGCTTACGTGTTCATGACCCATTTCAGGAACACTCCAATGGGTGGAGGACACCTGGGGCCACTCTGAAGTCAGAGCCCGTAGTGAGCTTGTAATGCTCCTCCACCCGTCCTAACTTGACAGTGAAGTAAGTGCACTTCATTACTATGGTGCTGCTGTTGGGGTCTTTAGAAGACATGCCCACCCCTACTGTGTAGGCCTGGAAACAGCAGAGCTTCAAAAAGGATGAAGCAGATGGGCCCTCCCTGGTGGTGCAGCGGGTTAAAGCACAGCACTGAGAATCTAAAGCCGCTTCCGCATGAGTTCGATTCCCGCCTGCCCCGGAGGAGACCACATGGCGTGGCAGACCTCTCCTGACCCGCCCGCTGCTCCCCTCAGCAGTGTACTTCATTGATCTGCCTGTTTTGTTCCCCACTCTGTCTCTGGTGAAGCCTCTCACCGCCCCTGAGCCTCTGGCCTGTACCCCAGTTCTGTATGCACAAATAAATAAATCTTTAAAAAAAAAAAAAAGGATGAAGCAAATCGCACAGAGCTATAAAGGCCTGTTCCTGATTCTGGGTAGCAAGGTGGGCGCTCCGGGCCCAGCCATGAGGGAGCATTGGCAGGACCCTGCTCTGTGCTGGGCACCTGGGTTTTCTCTGGCGTCCCCAGCAGTAGGTGTTTCAATCTCAGCTCATGAACTAAAAGCTGAGGCTGGAGAGGTTCAGAGGTTCCAGCTGAGAGGCAGCGCAGGCACTGAGCCCAGCCCGCGGCTGCGAGGCAGACCTCCTCCTCAACACGTCGTGCCGCCTCCCAGTGTGCTTAGGGCTGCCATGAAGGTGCATGGGCCTTACCTGCCCAACAGGTGCAGCTGGATGCTGACTGGGTCGACGGCACATTTTCCTGGAACCACCTTAGGCAGGCCAGTCTGGGCATCCTTTTCAATTTTGACACCTTTCAGGACGTCCAACGAAGCCTTCAGGTTGACCAACTCGTCAGTGCCAGGCCTGTAGGGGATCACGGTCAGAGTGAGCCCAGTTCTAGAAACACCTGCTGTGCCCACTCAACCCTCACCTGTGGAGCCTCATCCATCATCGGATGTGCCCACATGTCCACCTCAAAGTGGACCTCACATCTAACATGAGGGCTCCTCTCTGGGCTCTTGGGTTTAGTTCACTTGAAATTTATGTAGTATTACATTAAACGTTAAAAAAATAGTAATGGTATTTATTGAGGATCAATAACACTGCACTGCCTCTCCCCAGGTCCCAGATTATAACCTTACTCACAGTTTCAGGTTGACATTGGCTGTGATAGGGACCCTCAGGTTAAGGCCATCGCCCTCGGGAGTCAGTTCAAGTTTAACATCCAGGATATCAGCATTTGTGAGTTTCAATCTGGACATAAAAAACACAATTTACACTTGTCTCTGCTCATTAGGTCAGTGCTCCATCACAGGGAGCATCCTGGCCTCACCAACTGTGCCATCTTTGCTCTTCATCATTGCCTTGACGCCTCCATGGTATAGCAGGGCGCCCTGAGGCTCAGCCTGGTGTGATTCCATCCCTCTCTCCCTCCTGCCCAGGAGGGCCCCTACTGTGGACTCCTAAATCCCTATGTGGAAATAACTGCTGGGGTAAATTCCAGTTCCTTTCTCTTGGGGGAGAGAATTTGAGCAATTTGAGGGGCCTGGATCCTTAGATATTTGTCTTCGGCTTTATAGAGAGAATAGAAATCTTATTCCTTGGGTAAGGATATTCCAGCACCAGCAATCAGGACACAGTAAAGGCAAACTTTCTCTGATTCCTAAGTTGCAAATGTGAGCCCCAAGCCCAAGAGATGCCCACTTGGGTTTCAGCCCTGCCTCTATTTTCTGAAGCTCTGGTGAATTTAGTGCCAGACTACCTCAGCTCTGTCTTTGATGTTAGATTTGCTTCCACAACATATATATTCCCTTTCTTTGGAGCAAAGTTATCTACCAAGAAGCACCAACTTACTTCAAACCTTTGGATTCGGGTGAAAGTAAACCAGAAACACCATTTCCCACCACGTACCCAACTTTCTCGCCGGTCTGTTTGGCCTGTTGTGAAACGCTGGAATCCGGAGTGTCCTTCAGGTCAGTCTTCAGTTTATCTTGGACAGCTGACAAACACAAAAGACAATTAGTGTTCTGTCCCACTATGGAGCAGCTACTACGAATCTCACACTATATATGACTAATTTCTGTTATCATTTCATGTAGTTTTCATAACTCAGAGAGATAGGTATTGTTAGTGGGAAATAATTGTCAGGTGGGAAATAACAATGAAAGAGTTAAGAAATGGGCCTCAAGTTACACAGCTCAGAACCCTGCTATTCCATGCTGTCTTCACGGTAATGTATGCCAATTACTTACAAATAAAGCAATCAACCAGCAGATCAAGTAACCAATACCAATGAAACACCAGGTGCTATCTAGCATTGACTTAAGGGGCTATCACTCTAAATGGCAGGCATACATGTTAAAACTAGGTCAAACAAAATGAATCAGTGAAGTAAGAAGTGGAAAAATGTGGGGTCAGGAAAAAATGAGGCTCCAATTCATGAAAGTGACCACTTTGCAGCAGACTTTAGCGCAATTGTTCCCTTATTCATAGAGTGTCCTCATGGGAATTCTCAAGATAAAAGAGGTTTTTGAGTAAATGACTGGGCAAGTAAGAAAGACACAGGTGAGTAGAATTAAGGGTCTATATATAAAAAGGAATTCAAGCAAGAAACAATAAAGCAATTGCTAACTCAAGGAAAAACAAAAAGGTACAATAAAGCCAAGTTAGTACTACAATTGGCTATGCAAAGGACAGTATCTACCTAGTTGTAAAGATGCAAATATAGAGCAACAAATTAAACTGAAGATTATATCTCTTCTTAGCTGACTTTGAAGCTAATACTTCTGTTTCTGAGCTCAGAGTTCACAGCAGTGATACTAGGACCAGGTCATTCTTATCTTAGAAGCATGCCTAAATCCTAAGATGTCTGTGAAAAGCAGACACTTAGATATATTACTTGTTCTGCAATGAACTTTTGTTATTGTGCTGTTAATATTTCCAAAACTCAGAAGAAAAATCAACATCATTTAAAAGTCAGAATATAAAAGAAATAGGATAAAGTACAAAGATAGATAGCTCAAAACTTGCTAGGCTATTTAGACTGAATTTCCCTAATTTTCTTTTTTTTTTTTTAAAGATTTATTTATTTATTCATATAGAACTGGGGTACAGGCCAG